TAAACCCCAGTTGTCAACTTCACACCAAGACATGGTTTTCCCCAGGGACTAGACTCGACAGGACCTCCCTAAGGGTAGGACCCCACAGGATGGCGGCAAACGGTTTAGGAAGTCTTCTACTTCCAGCCGGCTGCCCACCGCCAACGGAGATGATGAAACAGAGGGGACCCCACCGCCACCGCAAAATGTTGCTTTTGCTTCGGAGGCGGTCACCCGAAAAGGAAATTCCGGGGCAGTTTTCCTTTTTGGGAAAGGTCGGGGCCTGGAAGGCCATTCCAGGTCCCTTGCCATTGGTTGTAATGGAAGGGCTGCGACTTCCGTCCGCAAGTGCCGGAGTACGCACCCGGGAGGTAGGTAAACGGACCGATTTTTGGAAAAGGGGAATTCAGGGCCACGTAGGAATAAGGGGGCCGCGGACCAAGTGGAAACGGTCGGCCGACGCGGCGGCGAAATCCGTATGTGGGGTCTCGGAAGTTGCCTCCCAACTTCTGAAACCGTTTGCTGCCGTCCTGTGGGGTCCTACCCTAAGATGCGTTCCAACGCTTCGCAGTCAAGTGCACTTACAAGCAAAAGACAACGAGTGCCCACAACATAGATACTAAAGATACAACGGCACGGGGGAGGCAGGAGGGCAGACCGTACACAGGCACACCAAACAAGGGCAAGGCAACAACCAACAAGCAGGAAAAAAAATACAAGTCCCAAACAACAAACAACCGAGAAAAATAAAAGACCATGATGATAGATTGTTTCGTCGGAGTTGCCCCGACTCATCAGGAGGCTGAACCCTCAACAGTCTGCGGAATCTCGGTATTTGATGGTTTGGGTCATGAACCCTTTGACCCTTGTTGAAGGCAAACTGTCCCCAAGCGGAACATAGCAGGGGGCAGCAACCCTGTGGAGCACCAGGCAACACAGTAGAGGCAACACAGCTGCACAACGCCAAAAACGACTGCAAGGAACGGCATGGCACGCAGGACATGCAGCGCGGCACAAGGCAACACAAGCAAGGCAATCACTGTGGCAGACTGCGTAGCCACACGGGCCCTGTAGGACCCGTCCCGGACATTCAGCCTTAAAGCCTTAAACTTAGGAGCTACAGGCCCCGGTCGTTTCAGCCTGAAAACTGAAAAACGAGGGCCTGCAGGCCCTACTCCGTTTCAGCCTATTTCTGGGTCTTTCAGACCCAGAGTTTTTCCAGCCTGAAACGGAG